CCTAACTTCAGCATCTCACTGGTGCTTAAAAACAAGCAGAAAAACAAGGAAAGGCTGTTTCTTAGAATTAAAGAGCTATAGAGTTGGAAAGGCTGTTGAGTCTGACTCCCTGATCCATGCGGGACTCCAGGTTAAAGCAACCCTGAAAGATGGCAGTCCAGCCTTTGCCAAAACACATCCTGCTGGTTGTGTTGGATAGGCAAACCAAGGATCCTCAGGTCATCAGTTCCCCCCTCAAACTGTTCTTATAGTTTAGAAGTTTTTCCTAACGCCCCACCGGAATCTGTCTTCCTGTAACTTAAATCCATTATTCTGTGTGTCCTACATTCTGGCCTGATAGGAAACAGGACTTAGCTTTCAACGGCGTGACACCTTTCAAAGTATTTGAATAGTACTCTGTGCCTTTTTTTTTTCGGATAGAGGTCTTTTTCCTTCAGCAATGATAGAACTGTAAGACCTTAAGTGGCTGAAGCTACTGGTTAGAAGAGGAGTGTAATGGTATGTGGGAAAGACCTTGGGAGATGGGGCAAAGAGGTGCTGCCAAAGAAACAGTCAGATAAGAGACGGCATAACCTGCAACTGGATAGTGGGTGGGCCACGAGGCTCAGAAGAGACCCTCCCTAGTTTCTCGGGCTGTAAAGGAGACAGGGGGAGAATTGTACTTTCAGCTGTTAATGTAGCTTTACAATAAAGTAGAATTAGCTTATCTGGTTGTGTTTCCTGTCTGGTCTCCATGATAGGGCTGACGTCAATCTTGCAAGTCTGAAAGTACAATTCTCCTGCCATCTCCTTTAGAGCCTGAGCAACTAGGGAGGATCCTTCTGAGCCTCTTGCCCCACCCACTACCCACCTACGGGCTATGCCGTCTCTTATCTGGCCATTCCCTAGGCAGCACCTCTTGGCCCCGTCTCCCAAGGTCTTTCCCACATACCATTACAGGGAGGATCTTAATTAGTAGCATTGCTGCTTGTTGTCCAGTGATTCAAAGAACCAGAGCCTTGCAAAACGTATGTCAGTGGCAGCTGTATCTCAGATTAACCTTGCCATATAGATGGAGAACTGACATTACCGTCCCCTCCACTACACACACACAATTCAGATCACTGGACTGCTGGAGCTCTGGAGCGAAGCCTGTATTACTGTATCTTTATTACAGCTGTTGGCTGGAAGCCCTGCAATTTTCTAATCCACTTTTCTGGCCTTCTCTTCATTCCTTTCAGGGGTTGCTCCATTATTTATTGGGAGTAATAAAATGCCTATTATCCTTATGTTATCCTTAAGTTATGAGAATCGTTTCTCGCAGAAGGACCGATCAAGGCATCGGGCCTTTCAAATTCTCCCGGGCCCGGGTTCCTTAGCCCTGAGTTTGGGGTCCAGTTCTTTTCAAGATGATTCAAGAGCTCAGGCAGCCCTTCCTTGCCGCTTGAAATGGACAGGCATCTTTTTTAACAGGGGAGACTGTTAAAATCAATCCATGCTGCTGGTAAACCAAATACATTCTTTTCCACCCCATGTGCTGGATCTAGGCAGGAGTGGCTCTTCTGATTCATCAGCCCACTATTCCTGCCCTGAGCTAATTCTCTCACCACACTATACACCCAGCCTAAAGGAGGTTAAACAGATCTCCGAATTGGAGTGGAATAGTCCACAAAGCCTGGGGCCCCAGGTCTTTGATGGGGATGTGCAAGAAGAA